ATAAAGTAGTAGAAGCTCATTAATGAGCTGACTTGAGTAGAAAGTAAAAACTAAGCATTTATGAGCTAGAACCACATTGTAGCAAGCATAACATCTTTAACTTATTTTGACCCCCCCCTGCCTACATCAAATTGCTTTCAAATTAATAGAAATCAAACGTCAAAATATGAAGGCATAAAATTCATAAACCAAAATATACCAAAGAATGAAATTTTGAATTTTCTATAGTTTTCATCAATACATTTTATTTTAAAGAAGTATTACAGAATTTTCATAAATATATATAATCACAAACACCTATTTGCTACTTCAAAACAACGAAGGAGAGCTATCTCCATTTGATCAGCCTCCAGAAAAGAACCACATTGTAGCAAGCATAACATCTTTATGTTTGCAGAGCGATAAAGCCTCCCAATTTTAAAACAGACAATTTTGATATCAACAAACTACATGAAGCAAACAAATATAAAAGCTTCTATAAACAAGTTATCCTTCCAAAAAAGCTAGATTGGTTACTTAGATTTCACGCACTTCAACAACAATAAACAGTGCTCTTAAAAAGACTCATCAGAACAAGGAAAAGTAACAGACCAAGTCAATCAGACACAATTTAGAAGTGATGTAATTTCTCAATTTTTAATCAGAAACTAGAACAAAGCCTGGCAAACGAAGAAATAGCTTATCCAAACAAACTATAATAAAAAGAAGAAAATAATTTCTATTTCTTCAAAGTTTTCTTAATCTACATTCATAGCCAATAAACTTTTACATAATTTCCTCTTGGATTAAATAAATCCAACTTTATAGTTACCCCTTTGTAAATAGGCCGACAAAAAAGTGACAATATAGTTGAAATGGTGGAAGTGAAAGGGAGATGAGGGAGGAAGGAGAAGGGAAATAGATGAACATCCATTCTATTTTACAAGTTCATTTCAGAGTGAACACGAAAAATAGATCAACATGGGTTAGAAATATAATGCACTAGTCCTCAACAATCAACATGGATGCAATGACCATAGAAGAATAGAATTTGACAACATCACCTTTTCAGCAGCAACAACAACATCATCAAGCCTTTGTCCCACTACATGGGGTCGGCTACATGAATCATTTTTCTCCATTGTGTCATGTTAAAAGTCAAATTCTCGTTTAAAGATAAATCATTTCTAATATTTTCTAACTAAGTCTTTTTAGGTCTACCTCTACCTCTCCTAACATAAGTCAAATCTAATACCTCTACTTCCCAAACCGGGTCATATATCTCCATTTGATCAGCCACCTCAAGAAAGGAACCACATTATAGAAAGTAGAACATCTTTATGTTTGCAAAGCGATAAAGCCTCACAAACTTGAAATAAGCAATTTTGATATCAACAAACTCTATGAAGCACACAAATATTAAAGCTTCTGTCAATGAGTTATCCTACTAAGAAAGCTAGATTGATTGCTTAGTTTTCATGCACTCCAAGAACAATGATCAATGCTCTTAAAAAGGCTCATCAGAACAAGAAAAAGTAATAGACCAAGTCAATCGGACACAATTTAGAAGTGGTGTAACTTCTCAATTTTTTAATCAGAAACTAGATAATATTAACAAATCCTAGGAAATGAAAAGATAGCTTATCCAAATGAACTATAATAAAGAAAAGACATTAATTTGGTATAGGCATTTATAAAAAATGCAATAAACAATGCTCTAAAATGGCTCTTTAGAGCAAGGGGGAACAGCATGCACAGACCATAACTCTACCACACTGATGAAATTAATCATAGTAATGCCACAGATTTGAAATAAATAAAGCCTCCCGATTTTAGAATGAGATAATAGCTTGTTTAAACAAAGCTAGACCACTAAATGCAGACAAACAGAGAAAGCTTTCTCCAAATAATGGAATGTATAGCACATAATATATTTTACATATAACTCGAATGAAAATAAACAAGACCTTAAAAAGGACTCAAAAGAAGGAAAAGTATGTAAAAAAACATAATTTGAGCACTTCGATGAAAATTTTAAACTATTATATTTTATGGAGTCTAAAACCATGACGAGATGGCCTAAAAGTAGAGAATAATGATGATCCGGGTTTGAAGAGAATGATTACTCATGAATCTCCTTTCAACCTTGGATACAAAGAAAGTGTGCTTCAAGAGTTAAAGCTATGTGTTTAGCCTTGATTTTTGAAATAATTGATGAAGTTGAAAAACTCATAATAGGTTTCCTGGTGAAGGAAATTGGCCAATGATTGGAGATGTGAGTCCTAACCCAAATAACCAAAGTTGAATACGTAATTGGTCTCATTTATTCCCTAAACCCAACCACCCATACAAACCAAAGTGTAGTCTGCTATTGCATGAAATTGGTCAATGGATTAGTTGAAGAAGTTATTGTGGATATCCAAGAGGATGAGCACTAAGATAATGCAAAAAATGGTGAACAACTAAAAGAGATTGGGCTACCAATCTTCAAGTGTAGCCTCGTTGGTTGAAAGGATTTGATATTCCCTTCGCTTTGCATTCTTCCTCGATCATCCTCCTTGAAAACTTGCTTTCCTTATAGATTGTTTGAGGTTTCTTTCATTTTTCCTGATTTCTTGCTACTCCCTTGATTCCCTTAATGATGTAGACAAAGGGGGGGTCAACACTAGTCCAAAATAAATCAAATTTTTGGCTTCCCTTGAGTCTAGTAGTTCATCATATTTGAGCTAAACTTTTAGTTCATTTATGAGCTGGACTTTAGTTCATTTATTGAACTAAGGGATAGCTCATTATGAGCTAACATTTTAGTTCATTGATTATCTTTTAATTAATGTAATTTTATGCTTTTTATGTTTATTTTAATGTTTGTCTCTTGGAATTCCAAACCGGCCTTTGGAATTCCAAGAATTTGCTTTTCCCATGAGGTGACTCCTTGGTTTCCTCATGGCTTTTAGTATTTTGTGTTTGCCTCTTGGGATCTCACGGCTGGGCTCCTTCTTCCGTGGCTGTGGCTCTTTGGTCCGTGCGGTTCCTTCGTTTTCCGTGGCCATGGCTCTTTGGTCCGTGCGGTTCCTTTGTCTCCCGTGGCTGTCTCCTTGGTTCCTGGTTTGGGTGTTAAACCGAGAGCTTGGGGGCTTAAGCAATCAATTTAATCCTTCCCATCACCTAGCTTTAGGAAAAGACAGAAAAAAGAGCAAGGGTTCTAGAGAGGGGAGGGGAGCTTGGGCTTGCACAGCAAGGTGAGAGGAAGAGGGTTAGGCTAGTTTAGAGGTAAAGGGCAAGGCTTCATTTGGTGAGAATGGTTGAAATTCTGCGAAGGAGAAAACCTTAGACCAAATACTAGAAGAGGGGAGGGGGATATGGAGAGGAGAGAGAGGGAGAGAGAGAGAGAGAGAGAGAGAGAGAGAGAGAGAGAGAGATTTGTACAACTATTGGAAGGAGGAAAAGAGAAGTGAGAAAATTTGGAGAGGCACTCTTCTAGATTCATTAGAATTGGAATGAATAAAAAACCCTACCATAAGCTAGAGTATTTATAGAAATAAAATTCTTTACATAAAACATTTAAAAACAACTACAAAGGCTCATTGTTATCCTTTTATTTTAAAACTCATCATAAAATCACGGTTCCTCCTTGAAAAGAGAATAATTAGGCCTCCATATTGTTCAAAGTGATGGTGAAATATATGGGAATATTATTAGTAAAATTCAAGTTGGATGGTTGAAGTGCAAGAATGCAATGGGCTTGTTGTGCGATAGAAAAGTATCCTTCAAACTTAAGAGAAAATTCTATAAGATGGTGGTGAGACTTGCAATGCTTTATGGGGTAGAGTGTTGACCATTAAAAGACAAGCATAAAATTAAGTTAAGTGTTGCAGAGATGAGAATGCTAAGGTGAATGGGTGGCTTCACTCTTAGAGACAGAATCGAAACAAGTATATACGTGAAAAGGTTGAAGTAGCTCCAGTGACAAATAAGATTGGAGAGAGTCGTCTTAGATGGTTTGGTGACTTTGTTCACATAAAACATCAGCCTTCTAATGACCCGGTTAGAAGAGTAGATGTATTAGATTTGGCCTATATAAAAAAGGTAAAGATTGACCTAAAAATACTATGTTAGAAAATATTAGAAATGACCTTTTTTTTATTAGATTTAAATATAAATTTGACTCTTAACATAACACAATAAAGAAAAATGATTCATTTAGCAGACCCCACGTAGTGGGATAAAGGATTGATATTGTTTTTTGTTGTTATTGTTTATACAATCTAAATACCATGAATTTTAAATTTAAACTACAATAAAACTAAAAATTTTAATAATTTTTCATGCTTACTTTAATTTGATTATTATCAATTTATATTCTTAAAAAAGGTTTATCATAAATGCAATTAGTTTAAAGTAGCGTGATTATTTCTTTTAAAAAACATCATCTAGCTCAAGCAAGCACCTCAGGCATAGGACAACAACATCGTCTTAAAAGCACCTAGTACTTTTTATAATATTGATTGCACCTATATGCAACATATAATAGAGAAAGCATTACAGTTTGTCCATGCAAAATACTCCCTTAATCTCTATGCATCCCTTTTCCTTCTAAATGTTGGGCTCTTCGCAACTAATTCCATAGTGCTAGCATGCTACCTAGTAGATAATGGCCAAGCTGATTGCTAGCAGGAATGAAATAAGATAACTAATTGGCATTAATAGAACATACTTGAACCAACAAACTCTTTTAAAGCCTTTAACATCCCTTCTTTTTAAATGCTACAACAAAGAATGTCAAGTAAAGCGTACTATGGACCCTACCATCCACCTCTAAGCAATCGATAGCATTAATTGAATTAAAAGCCTTCATCAAAATTTTAGTGTAACAAAACTCTTATGGTCAGCATTTTGAATGTTTAATCAAGGCTATAATTTTCCTGTGTTGAAAAAATGGACAACAAGCTCAAACACAGCTTCTTGCGTGTTTGAAAATGAAACAAAAAAAGGAAATAAATGTTAGCAAAGAAAATGCTAACCTCCTGATGAAGAAGAATCTGATCCATCAACAGGTGAATGGTGACGATACTTCCTATTAGCAGAATCATTTGAAGGCTTGCGGAATGATGGCCTCAAATCTGGTTTATCAAGAAAATCCTTTGGTGGAGCGAAATCCATGATTCCAACACCCAAAATAGAAATACTGGTACCCTGACAAAAAAAAGCTATGAATCACTAACACAATATTGCAATACTGAGATCCATAATATATTGATAACTACGACAAATCTATAAATCAATCTATGTAGTGCAGATTTGGATGATGCATATATGTAGATTATATGGTATTCACACACAAATGCCCATATGAATATATGAATTGTAGTTGCATTAAAAGCATGCAATCTGTCACAAAATTTCTCCTTATTTATCATTTATAAGATTGTAATCTCAAACCAATTCATTTTATTAACAATTCAGAATGAATCAAAATGACCTGTTAGTAGATACTTTGTTTCATTTGAAATCATTCCTATAAGTTGAACCTTCTAGTTTCCCATAAAATGCTCAAGAAATTCCTTCTACAGCAAAGAATGAGTTACTAAAATTTAGACATGATATACAAAGAAACAATTCAGTACTAGCTTCAAAGAATCTATTATTCAGCTCTTGAAGTTGCATATCAATAACAATGTAAAAGAATTTCACACGATAATGATATAAATTTGTTATGTCATCATTTTTGTGTGCTGATCGTCGGCGGGCTTTGAATGTAAAACTCATAACAGGAACATCAATTTCAAAAACATTGCAAAAACGAGATACGTCTTCCAATAAGGAATTTCATCCATTATCCCTCATCATCTGTAATTATTTACAAATTCTATGATCTGAAAGACTCATCATGACCACGGAATGAAAACACTTGGCGTAACAGAAATAGTACACAATCTATTGCAACAGTAAACATAACCCTATAATCTTTTTTTATTTTTCTCATTTTTGCTCAACCATAGAACTTGAATACTTTGTTCTTGAGTCTTCATCAGATCTTCACATTTGTGTCTAGCCTTATTATGTGCACTATTATGATCTCCAACGTGACTTAACAATTTTTCCTTCTTTTTCCAATTTCTGAACCCTTCTCCAATAAATGAGTCTCCCGCACCTTGTTCTATACTAGTTTTATCTTGAGATTTGAACAAGTAGCAATACAAACAAAAAGCAACATCTTTCTGCACATTGTATTTTAACCAATCAGGATATTCCTCAAACCATTTTGGATTAAATCTACGTGCAACATTGTCAAATACTGTTTGAGGGAATTGATGGCTTTTCGGTTGATGAGGTCCCTTCAATAGATATGCTTTCCAAATTTTATCTCTTTCATTTACATCATAATACCAAATTGAAGGTAAAGTTCCAGGATCAGCTGGGAGGTTGTTAATATCAGTCTCCAAACGTACTTTCCTTTTTAAATAACGTTCCATTTGATATATCCTATGAAAAAAATTGGAAAATCTATATGTTTAGGAACTAAATAAAATATGATTAATTCTTCATATTATTCATAAAATATGATTAATGCATATTATGTCAAATTATTTGGAGATATATTGTATACAACAACAACAACATCAAGCCTTTATCCCACTACGTGGGGTCGGCTACATGAATCCTTTTTCTCCATTGTGGAGATATGTTGTATAATGTATATAAAAACATGAAGACCGTCTAAACTCTAAAGCTTGCTTAAGGTCTTTTCTAGACAAAAATTTATTTGGAAGCAACACTTCAATGTTCCATAAAACTTTGGTGAACAAAAGCTGCATTACACACTTCCAAATGTTTAATGTATTATGTATACCACGACATTGTAGATTCATGTCTCATCAAATAACAAAACGTCTGAACAAATATATTCACTTAAAACATTACATTTTGAACCTTTGAACCATACATAATTCCTATATTATTGTAGCAGAAAAATTTTAACATTATTATAGCAAAAAAAAATGATTTAGTTTGTAATCATCATAAACGTCTTTAAAAAAAAAAAGCAAAAAAGAAGTTTGAGGAAAAATTTTTTGGAATCAAGCATTAAACAATCAAGAGAAGCAAATCTGGTGCTTCTAAAGCCATTGCAGTAATTCTACAGCTCTTTCAGTCATTGAAACTATACCAAGGATCTACTAACTAGTACAAGGGAATCAACTACAAAAATTTGCAATTTTGCTACTTTCCCTGCATTAATTCCATGTCAGCCGCCCTCCCTCTCTCCCTTTTTCCGTCCTACAACAACTATTTTAAGCATTGGCCCTCTCTTCCCTCTTACAGCAACTATCTTAAAAGAAAAGGATTACGAAAATAAGGAAGCCAAGTAAATCATGCCAGTAACCGATCCGAAGAGAAAGAACGAAGTTTTGAACCGCATTCATTAAAAAAAAAATATTAAGGTTTTGAACATCACGATTAATCTGAAACCCTTGTAAACCTAATAGAGAACTGAGAAGGATCCATTTCATCAACTCACCTCCCTATGTCCGATCAAGAGATGTAGCTCCTACGCTGCCGCTCCCGTTTCTTCTCGCTTCCCCCTTGTGCGCTGCCCTCCTCGGCCCTTGAGGGTTCCGCCCCTGGTACTACAATACGTCATCAACCTTTCACCTTCTACACTCAAAATAAGGCTCAACAGCTCATATGACTCAACCCAGAAATAAATCAACGTATTTTATACAAACTATACATACTTTAGCTTTGAGATTTGACGATTTAGCCTTCGAGTGTGTTGCGAGTCGTAAGTGTAGCGAGAGTCGCCGAGAGCTTTGACCGCGGGGAGTAGAGAGATCCGAAACCTTGGATCACTTCAAGAGCAGCGAGAGCTGTAGAACGATCTCTTTTACCAGCGACAATAGCTGCGGGATCCAAAAGAGTGAGGCGAAGCCATTGAAGAGTTGTGCTCGAATTGGGGATTATCGGATTAAGATTTAGGTTTTTTCATTTTGACATTTTATATGAAACCTAGTGGAGCTCGTATAAATAATTATATAATTTTAGAAATACAAAATTTATAAGTTTTTTACTTTTTTTATAATACAAATTAAGTTTAAGAATGATATATTTTATTATATTTTCTACAAATTTAAAGAAATATAATTAGGGGCTATTTGGTTGCCTGAAAAGTAAATGCAGTGTAAAGTAAATACAATATAAAGTAAATGTAATTCATTCTGAATGCTTTGACACTGTTTGGCTGTCTGCAAAATAAACGCAATATAATTGTTTACTTTGTTTGGCCAGGTAGATCCAAAGTAAAGTAAAAGCGATTTTTTTGTAATAATTTATTTTGATATTAAAATTAGTTTATTTATAAAAACAGTGTATTTATAATAATTAGTATTATTTGGTCTTATAAAATAAAATAAGTGTATTTATTTATTGCACTATCTTATTATAAACTTTTTAAGATTATAAAATATAATATTCTGTTGTGTATTAATTTAGCAGTGTGCTGCAAAAGAAGTAAATATGCTTCTGCTAGAGAGAAATTTAAATTTTAAATCTTTTAAAATTTGTATTTTTTATATTTTTCAAGTAATGTTTTAAAAAAAATCATATAATAAAATTTTCACACTAATTAAGTTTAATATTTCATTTCTTCAAAAAATATCCATAAAAATTTTTTTAGATCAAAATACCCTAAACTTTGAAGAGACGTTAGTTTACATAAGCTGTTATTTTAGGCAAGAAATGAGTGCTCTTCTTATTCGCAAGGGAAAGTTCTAAGACAACGTTCAAATGCAATATTTATAAGTTCACTTCTCATTAGCCGGTGTTTGCCATTAAAGATTATTGATATTAAACATTTGGCAAAGTTTGTCTTCGATATATTCTTAAAACCTAAAATATAAACCTAAAAGGATATTAAATGTAAATAAAAAATTAAAATGAATAAATAAATAATAATAGTTTCGAACGTTGCTTAAATATTATTATTTTCTTGATTCAGATTTGTTCAACATAATATCAAATACTATTTGAATCTTATTCAAAGTTTGTTTGTACTTCAAAAGAAGATCAAACGATAATTAAAGAAGCTTCTATCATGTTTTTCGAAGATCGTTTGATCATAGTCAAACAGCTTATGACAGGGTTGATCAAGCTTCAATTAATATTTGATGAAATTTCAAGCAAAGTTCAAATTTATTATTTTGCACTTTATCTCTTTTGAGATTGACTCGCTTTTTTTTTTATTTGTTGGCTTTTGCATGCAAATGTATGCTCATGTTATATATTGAGCTTTTGGTGTGATAGATAAAATTGTTAGGCAATTTGAGCAATTTAAGGCTAATGACATTATTATATTGGATATGTAAGGCAAGAGCACAACATCATGCATGTAGAGAGGGATTACACTATTTTATGTGGATGTGCTTGAAGATCAGTGCTAAACTCACAATTATAAATAAAAAATCATCTTCTATTACTTGATGAAAATGGTTTTAATGATGATGATCTTTAGGGCACTTTTTAATGGCAATATAGATATGGATGTGCTATTCAATGCACATTTTATAATGATATAGCTGTTGTGATTATACGTAATCATTACTATAACATATGATAACCAATTTAATTTAATATAAGATTTTTTAGTAAAATGTTATCCTTTATTATGTTTATTTCAGTATTATAGCTTTGTGATTGTATTATGAAATATTATCATATGTTGTTTAAGAAGTTCAAACATTGAATGAACCTTATTCCAAAAGGCAGCTCAATTATTTTATATGTTTTCTAACTGTGTTTTATTCGATTGTGATAAAAAATTTTAATTGAATATGAACGATTAATATTTTATTATGGTCAAATAATCTTTAATCATGGATCAAGTTATGTATCGTACATGGCCTCAATCTTAATCTTGGTTTATTCAAATCTAGTTCAAGTGTTATTCAAATCAATTCGGTGATGACAACATTAAAAGTAGCACATAGTGATGTAGGTTTATAAGATCTATTGATGAAGGAAACAACTTGATTGGTACCCTCTTAGATTTTGAGTTGAAACTTCTAAACAATTGAAAGATGAGTTCTCATAAGGAAAAATTAACGAGGAATTTTAGAACAGCAATTTGGAATGTTAGGGAACTAATTGTGGCATTTTTATGGACTTTGTATTAGTAGTTCAGTATTTATGATATTTTTATTTTGGTTCGGTATAGTAAGATATTATATCTCTATATTAGGATTTTGACTATGTTATCTTAGGTTTATTGAGAAGTTGAGGCCTTGAAATATTATGAGGGATGCGAGGGAATATATGGGTGAGTTTAGAAGATGTTGGATGGTTTTTGGTGCTGAGGAAGGCCAAGCTCGAGGTTATGTATTGGAGATAAAATTATGTGGGGAAAGAGGAGGATTAAGGATAATGACTAATGACTCATCAAAGCCTTAGAAAATAATCACTAAGCTTCAGTAAAGAGTAGAGCAGCCACCAAGCATTTTTACATGAAGTTTGCGTAAGCAAAAAAAAAACTTTATTCAGTGAATCCATAAGATAGCCATTTCCAAGCATATACAATTTTAAAAGCCTTAAATTGCTATATTAAAAACTGAAGCCAATTAAAGCTTCAATTAGGAGCCAATTAAATACTATTACATGGATTGATGAGTTATCTTAATACAAAAAAAGAAAAAAAGAAAACTAATTATAAAAATAAAATTTAAAGCTTCCATATACAAGAAAATATAAATTGACCAAATAAAGCAAGTAGAGTGGTCTTAAAATCAACTATGAAATTAACATATCATTAATTCTTAAATGAATATATTATTGAGTCTTAAATAAGTATAAAATATAGTCATAAATGAGCTTTTAATCAAGTTTCTTAAAAAGTTTGTTCTAAAGCATTATATAATAATTTTCATTATCATAAATGAATTTATTGAGGTGTTCAAGCTTATTTATCTAGGATTCTATAATTTATAAAGATGTTCAAACTTTTATGATATATTAATCAAATGATCATAATTAAGCTACAATCAATCCAAAATTATGAGTAGCTTATTAAACGTGCTAGTTCATTTGCAGCCCTAAATGCAAATATATACATTAATATGAAAGCAACATGATCAAGAATATTAATTATTTAGCCCAAGATTCAAGTTTTTTTAATGTAATTTAAATGCTTGAGGATAAACAGATACTGTAATAACTCAAATATTTTAAATGAATATGTTTGAAAACATGAAAATATGATCCAGTAGAGAGTGCTGAGGCGTTGGGCTGGCGAGCACATCGACATTGTGGCACTAGAAAACATTGCCATGATATTGAATGCTTTGTTCTACAGTAATTCAGAGTGAAGCATGTGGTGTAGCATCGTGAGCACCGCAACGGTCTATTGTGCGCGTCGTGGGCTTGAGCACCAAAAATAATTCTTTTTGATATTTTTCATTTAAGTATCCCTCCCATTCCCCACCCTCCCTCGCTCTCATTTCGTGACTTGTCAAGAAAGGAAAGAAAGGGGAAGAATAAGAGAAGGGGAGAGAGAAGGGGAGAGAGAAGAGAGAGAAAGTGTGAACAATCTTAATTTTTTTTAGAAATTTTTTTATCATGAACAATCAAAAATATTTCAAGAATTATTATTAGTCCAAATCACAAATTGTCTTTGTTATATTATAGATATTATAGTATTTTAGTTTTACTAATTTTTCATAATTTATATGCTTAGGTGAATTTTCTTAAAAAAATGACATTTACTGGTATAATTGAGAATTTTGGGACTGTTAGGTGTCTGTTTTACAAACCAATTTTACCAAAATGTTTTAGATATACTTAGCTAATTTAAGAATTTTTTTTTTTTGTAATTTTTGGATTATCAAATTTGAAAATATAAAATAATTTTGATGAATTTAATGCTAAAATAATTAAATAATTAGAATAAATATTTAATAATTTAATATAATATCATATCCATTAACTTAATTATATTAAATGGTATTATATCCCATTAGCCCTTCCCATTTCAGCTAAAAGAAAGCTGGAGGAAAAAAATAGATAAAATATAGGAGAGAGAAAGAAAAAGCTTGATTTTGAGCAATTTCGAGCCATTTTTGGCCGTCAACACAATTAAAAAATTTGCTCATATCGAAATTTGTCACACTATGCTCATATCAATTTTAAAAAATATGCAACTTTACCTAGATTTTTTTATTAAATTTATATTTTTATTTACAAAACTTTCATTGTGTAACTTTATATATGTTATGTAGATTAATATTATAAAAATTTTGAATATTTTTTGGAAATTTTATAAGGGGATTTTGAAATTTGTGGGTTTTTATTGGGAAAAAAATATTTAAATGCTAAAAATAGTAATGTGGTATAATAAAAGTCTTAAAATATTATTTTACATAATCCCTGATAATTTAATTATTTATTGAAAACATGTATTTTTTACTTAGTAGGGGTTTATATTGTCTATCGTTAATAAAAGAATATGCAATTTTGTCACATGCTCAATTAGGTTTTAACTGTTAAAATATGATGAAAAATGAGCATATATGATTGGGGCTTGTTGATGATTAGCAATTCAAGATTATATATGAGTTTATATGTATTTCTCTATTTTAATTTGTGTATAATGATGACTAATTTATTATTAAGTTATGTAGCTTATGCATGCATGTAGATATGTATTTTAGTGTAGATAATTTTCTATGAAATGAAAAAAAAAAATCTTATAGATGAGTTTATTTTAAGTATTCAAATATTTTAGTAGCTTTGTAGTATACGCGCTGCTTATTTAAAATGAATATTGAAATATAATCTAAAAGATTTCAAAATTAGATATTGTGATTTGCCCATCACAGCTCAACACAATAAGACCTATCCTAATCAAGTTGGGCTGTGAAAGGAATTACTTTGGGTGTTTTCATCT